AACAGTCTGGGTATAGAAAGGGCTAGAAGCTGATAGCTTGGCAGGGTGCTGAGAATGAGGAAACCTGGGTGTTATGACACTCAGATGACTTTTTAGATTCGATTACGTCAGACATTTATTGCTGTTGGTCAGAAGCCACTGTACAACTAAGAGCAAAGTGTCAGCTGACTTAGGTTAAGTACATATTGTGCCATGCAGTTTTTCATATAAAACTTAAAGGTCAAACTACAAAGTTAGTTTCCTAGTGTATGAAGTAAGTGACATTGTGGAGTTCGTTTCATGAAAGTAAATGTAAGACCGGTTATCACTGTCATATTAAGATAATGTCAGAGCAGTGCTTTTCAAACTTGAACATTCATCAGAATCATTTAGGGCTCTTGTTAAAATGCAGGTTCCATTCAGTAGGTCTGTGGGGGGGCTTGAGGTCCCTCATTTCTGACAAGCTCCTGGGGCTACTGACGCCGTTGGGTCCTGGGCTCCATTTTGAGTCACAAGCATCTGACTGGGGTTCCCATCTTTTGGGGCACAGAGCTCTTTGAGAAACTGAGGAAAGCTGTAGGCCTTCAGAACAGTGAAGCTGCTACCTCCTCCCTTCCCAGCACCACACCCCATGCATATGATTCAAGGTCATGAACCCTCTGAAACCCACTTAGCATCTTCAGTTTTAAAAAAAATTTTTTTTTTTTTTTGGCTGAGGAAAAATCGCCCTAGCTAATGTCTGTGCCAGTCTTCTTCTGTTTTGTATGTGGGTCGCCACCACAGCATGGCTGCTGACAAGTAGTGTAGTTGCGTGCCTGGGAACCAAACCTGGGCCACTGAAGCAGAGCACGCTGAACTTAACGATTATGCCACAGGGCTGGCCCCTCATCTTCAGTTTTGATTACAGAAGTGGCTTATATTACATAACTGTCTTTCAGTCAGTATTTTTCCTCATATTTTTATAGAGCGAATGTTAATTTAAAACTGGGAAAGTGCTGTCATGGTTGCCCATAGGTTAGAATAAATGATCATGTGGAGGGCCCTTTAAATTTAGCTGCTTCAAAGGTATAAGGCTCTAAGCCTTGGAATTACTTAACTTCTGGCTTCCGGCAAGAGCCAGGGGCCTGGTATGAGCTGCATTCCTTCATGTTTTGTAACATGAAGGAGTTGACAAGTAGTGTGAGCACCTTTCACAGTCACTTCTAATTTTCTTAGATCCCTGGATAATTTTGCGCTCCCAACAGGTGTTTGTTGATAATAGTGGTTTTAAAATGAAAGATCTAGGGGCCAGCCTGTGGCTCTCTGGCTAAGTTCAGTGTGCTCCAGTTGGCAGCCCGGGTTCGGCATGGACCTGCACTACTTGTAGGTGGCCATGCTGTGGTGCTGACCCACATACGAAAAAGAGGAATATTGGCACAGATGTTAGATCAGGGCGAATCTTCCTCGGCAAAAAGAGGAAGATTGGCAACCGATGTTAGCTCAGGGCAAATCTTCCTCAGCAAAGAAAAAAAATAAAAAAGGAAAGATCTAGACACAATAGGTTAGTGAGTGGCTGAGAAATGACCCACGTGAGAATGGGAGGGATTGAGACGTGGCAGTGTGTCGTATTAAAACTAATCTGTGTAATTTTCTTGCTGGGAAGGACATAATTTTGGTGGTTGAATGCTGTAGAAACGGATAATTTTGTGAAATATCTATTTTATGGCTGCATGAACATGGGGTGTCCCTAAGGCAGTTCTCACTTGGGGGTCCACAGTGGAGCTGCCCAAGATCTGGTGGGTTAGAGTGGAAGTGCTGTGCACATGGGAGGGATTCCATTTGTCTGTCTGTCTGTCTTGTAAGCCATTGTTCTGCTCATCCAACCCTACACTTCTTCATACTGGCTTGGAAAAGTTAAACCAGGCTGTGGGAATCCATTGTAGTGTTCGGATGGTGCTTACTACAACATACTCTTTGGGTTTAATTGTTCTGGCTGGTATTTATTCTGTCTCTGTTCATCCTGAGGTGGTCAGGATGCTCCCCCCACCTGGTTCCCCCACCTCTGGATTATTTTAAAGTAAATCCCAGACATCATATCATTTCATTTGTAAATATGTCAGTATGTATCTCTCAAAGGTTAAGACTTTTTTTAATCATCATGATACCATTATCATACCTAAGATAGTAATAATAATTCCTTAATATCTTCAAATATCTAGTCAGTGTTAACATTTCCCTACATATAATTTCTAAAAATACCTTTTCTGTTTGAACTGAGGTCCAATTGGTTGATATGTCTTTAAAGTCTTTTTTCAATCCATAGATTCCCCGTCCATCTTTATATTCCTTGCAATTTGTTGTTGTTGTTATTGAATAAACTGGGTCATTTATCTGTCACCTTCCCAGAGGCTGGATTTTGCTGATCGCCTCCCTGGCATTGTTTGACGTGTTCCCCCTGTCCCTGTATTTCCTGGTGGTTCGCTGTCATCAGATCTAGAGCAGAGTCAGGCCTTTTAGGTGGGAGAGGGACAAGGTTTCTGTGGCAGTGGTGTTGGCAATGGTGTTGCTCCTTCGGTTGGATGTACAGCATGTCTGGTTGTCTCCTAGTGACTGGAGTTGGCAGCCATTGATGATCACTTCCTAGAACCATTAATTCACCAGGGTCGCAAAATGATGATATTCTAATTCTGTCATTCCTTCTTCATTTATTAGGTAGAATACCTTGAAAAGAGAAACTTCCCCAAACAACTATTTGGTTACCCTGGAGTGCAGATTGTTTAGGAAATACAGAGTAAATGCTTGATTCTTTCCCTTTATTTACTAGTTTTCAAAATAATGAGGTGATTCTTTTGATTCTCCAAGGGGGATCATTCACTTTTTATTTTTTAATTATGGAATCATAAATTTATGCGTATTTTATGTGTTTGAATCTATTGCAGTTATTCTTTTTGCTGCTCACCTTTGGCCACTGGGAATTTATTCAGGTTAGCTCCTAAGTCCTTTTGACATGGCCCTTGTATGAGTTCTCTCTTACTGTGTAACGAATTACCCCAAAACTTAGGGGCTTAAAACTACATGTATTATCTCACAGTTGCTGCGAGTCAGGAGTCTGGGTGGGGTTCACCTGGGTCCTCTGACTCAGGGTCTCTCTCAAGGCTGCGGTCCAGGTGCCTTCCAGCTTGGCTGGGGGAGGGACACTTCCAGGCTCACCCACATGGCTGCTGGCTGTCCCCATTGCCAGGGGACACACAGGAAAGTCAGAAGTCAGAATATTTTGTAACCCAAACTCGAAGTGACATACCATCACTTTGGGCACCTTAGTGCTCTAGTCATTAGAAGTGAGTCACTAGGTCCAGCCCATTCTTAGAGGGCTGGAGGCGGAGATCATCAGGAGCCATTAGAAACTGCCTGTGACAACCTAGTAATCTTTGATATGGCAGGGTTCCTGCTTTCTTGTGGAGGAGATAGTTCAGATATTTGGATTGAGTCTTTCTCCAAAGTGCCCTGATTTACTTTAGTGGAAAATGGTATTTAGAGACTATCATTTGGGCATAAGATTCTAGGTCTTTTCAGAGGACAAAGCTAGGGAGTATTTTTTTTTTTCTATTTCAATTTCAGGTAAAGTACATGCTAGTATTTCCCATTCAGAGTCAGAGTTTTTACTTAACCTCATCAGTCTTATGTTTGTATCTCCTTTTAACCAAAAACCTTGGTTCTCAGTGGCACCAGCATAATTTCCCATGTATTATCCCACAGTACACAAACAGAAATCTCAGAATAACGACACTTACTTTACCACCAAAAATGTTATTACTGAAAATGCTTTAAGATTTCTTTATAGTTCTTTTTCTCCTGAGGCTATATCCCACTACATTATACAGTCAAATTCCTCCATGTAGTCATAATTGAAATCGTTTTTCACTGTGCAGTGCGCAGTTAGGTTTATTTGCTTCAATTTTACTTTTGCATTATAGGTTATTTTGAAAAATAATTTTGTTTTATTTTTGTGTAAATTATTTTCATCATTCTACAGGTGATCTACAGATCAAGGTATTTTTGTAGAAATCTGGCTTCTATCCCTGCCCCCTCCACTCCATTTTCTTCCTTCTCCATGGATAGCCTTTTGAAAAATACATAGATTATCCTTTTTATCTTTAAATAGAAGTGGTAGCGTTCTGTATACATTTCTCCACCTTGCATTCCCCACTTAGCAATAGATCCTGGGTACCACTCCATGGCAGTATCTGGAGATCTTCCTCATTCATTTTTCAATAATATAGCACTCCATTGTGTCAATTTATGGTCATTTATTCTGGAGAGCTATACTTTTTAGGAGTTCTCTTGAATTCCTGTTCTGCTGTTATCTAGGAATTGCGGTTTCTAAGGGGATATAGAGAAGAAGGTGGGGGAGGGGGCCAGTGCCCTGCAGCAGCACCTGGTTGTGACCACTCCAGTTTTCTTCTTGGTTTTCTTCCTGGGTGGAGGCATAAACTGTCTTTCTTTTTGTTACCAGGTGGGGGAGGCTGCTTTTATCATGAGTCACACAGCCCTCCATGGTTTCTGTCGTTTCATCTACAATCCTTTTGGCTTACAGTTAGAAATTCTTTCAGGTTTTGACTACACATTATTTGTCAGTCTCAAGTGTTTGGTGGTGGCATCTGTTTTGTGTGTCTTCATGTTTACAGTCATGCGTTGCTTAGTGATGGGGATATGTTCTGAGAAATGTGCTGTCAGGTGATTTCGCCATTGTGCAAACATCATAGAGTGTACTTACACAAACCTAGATCTATAGCCTACTTCATACCTAGGCTATATGGTGCTAATCGTGTGGGACCACTGTGGTATATGCGGTCTGTCGTTGACCGAAACCTTGTTATGTGGCGTGTGACTGTATATTAGTAAGGATTTGGGAGGAGTGATATTAGAGATGGTGTTTCAGATGCCATTTAAAAACAAATCCTCATATGTAAAAAGGAAATAAAACACATCTTTTAAAAATAATTTTTTCTCTCCTCACCAATCCTGAATTATTTGTGTTGCAGGGAAAAGGACTTGGAAGCCAAATGCATTATTCATATGGAGAAAAGCAAAACAACAATCACAAACTTAAAGGCAAGTAGCACCCTGGCCTTGCTCCAGTTCCTTGAGGTCCGTGTTTGTTTTATTGTCGGAATGATTTGTGGGTGAATGAAACATGTCTGCCATTTCCGCACCCCTCCTTTCTCAGTTCATTAGCCACGTCAGCTTGCACTTGGCTTGGGCTCAGTCACAAAGCAAAAGGGTCAATGCTCTGTTTCCTCTCCCGTCCCTGGTTTCATCTGGAAGCCAGACCCATGCTGCAGCTCTGACACGGGAGCTCCTGGGTTTAGCCCAGACTCAGGCGTTTTTATCCTGGATCCTGTGGGAGATCCTTAGCCTGGCATTTCGCTACATTCTATGAATCATTAAATAAGCTTTGGCCCTAGATTTGTTTGCATTTTTAAAGAAAATAGTTATGTTTTGTAAACGTTGCAACCTCAGCTGGTATTCTTATTCAAAACTCAGGGGATGAAAGATTTTTAAAAATCTGAATTATTTTTTGGAAAAAAATTGAAAAAAAAAATTTTCTAAGATGGAAAGTTCTTCCTTTTGCACTTAAAATATCCAGTTTGTTTCTTTGGTCAGGGAACTTGTTAAGGACCCTGAATATGTGTCACTTAGTGGGGAAATAAGAGTGTAAATAATAAAGAAATCATATGCTTTAAGGACTCAGCCCCTCTCCCCTTTGATATTTGTCATTGACTTATACGTTTGGGCTTCTGATGGCTGCTGCTCCATGGCCAAGTGCAGATCAGTCTCTGGTTGGATTTCTCTTAATTCGTGGCTCAAGGGACTGGACGTTTTGAAATCCAGTTTCAAAGTGGTGCAACTTAATCTCCAGTGATAGAAGCTGGGGAATGCTCCTGTCTTCCACTTGGGCCGTGCTCTGCATAATTTGATAGGTGGCCTCCTTTGAGGCTCTGCTGTCCCTTTGCCTAAGGTATTCTCCCGTGGAATGTCCGTCTTTCTCCACTGACCACAATCTTTTCTTCTAGCCCTCCCTCCTTTGACCTCCCACCTCTTCTCAGGTTTCTGCAGTCATCACTTGTCCCCTCTCTGCTGTTAGTTACCTTTGCCCTGCTTCATGTATCTTGGCATGCTCACAGTGCTATGGTAAAAATTTAATTATTAAAAAATTGTATTTCCTGAAACAGAGTGAAGAGACCCCTGGCCTTGGATGAACCTCCTTTCTTTGTGCATTATGGACTCCATTTTCCTTGATTACTCCATTCCTTTTTGAGTTTTACAACATTTCCTTGTCTGATATAGCCGGAACAGATGCCAGATTTTTAATATTTTAATAATAAGAACCTAAAAAAATGTTCTTTGTAGTATCCAAGTTATATTGGAAAATATAATCCTCATTAAATTTATTCAGCATGTGTCTAGGGAAGTGTGTGAGGCTTTGGTGGCATATGAAGATTTTTAAACTTTTTAAAAGGTTTTTGGTTCAATTTAGGTATATAGCGAGATAGACGAGATACATGCAAACATCTGCAATAAACTCATAGTATGATATGTCCTGGGAGAGGCTAGTCTCTCAGAGGTGGGAGAAATTATTTCTGGGTGGAGTGCACAAAGGAAGCTTCGTGTTAGAGGATGCATCTGACCTGGAGTTTTCACTGGGGCCACAAAATCACACAACTCTAGGGGGGCTCCCGTCACATCATGATCTATGTGAATAGGCACCCCTGGCATTGTGCAGACCCCAACTCTGGTTTTGGGTGGAGGGAACAGTAAAAAGCCTTGAAGCCAGAAAAAGAGTCTGGCTGGAGTGTTGGGTTCACGTAAGGTAATCATGATAAAAAGTCCAGAAAAAGTGGCCTTGGCTCCTATCTTAGAGAGCCTGGATTGCTGGGAGGAGCTGAGGTTTTATTTATTTATTTTTTGGTGGGGGAGTTGGGTCCAGGAAGAATTAAATGCTTTTTAGTCAGAGTGTAAGTATGAAAAATGGTGATCATTGTATATTTTTTATGAAATTTTTTTTTCTTGAATTGGATGGATCACTTGTCAACTGACAGTGCTCTTTACATTATTGTTATTGTTACCATAATCATCTCTCTCTAGATACCAGAAGGAGGGACTGGGGACTCAGGAAGAGAACGGACCAAGACCTTCACCTATGACTTTTCTTTTTATTCTGCTGATACAAAAAGTCCAGATTATGTTTCACAAGAAATGGTATGATGCTTTTAAAATCTTTATTTTGGTTTATTTTCAGATTGAGAAAAACATGCTTACCCTAAAACTCTTTAAAACGTCTTGCTAATTTTTTTCCGAATTTACTTTATGTAAAATTAGCCTTGGCTAACTTGGCTTTCTGGTTGCTGCATAGCACCATTTATCTTAAGCCTGAGAAGAATTCAATCCCGAAAGGTTGATTCTTTTTTTTTCACTTCTGAGCATGATGATCATAATGTTTGTTTCAAAACTTGGACATGACTACTACTTTGAAGGAGCTCTGCATCTATGCATTTTTGGGGGTGACATTTATATGCTACTAAGCCTGGCAAATAAGCCACTTAGCCTTGCGTCCTGGTGTGATGCAGAACTTTAGGAGGTAGACTTCAAACCCAAGTCACATTTCCCCTGCTTGAAAGGATCATTATAGGGTCTAGAAAGTAGAATTCTAGAAAGAAAGAACATTTTTGTCCAGAATCTTTCTAGAACCTAGAATGAAGCTGGAATTTGTCCAAGAAATCTGTACTGTGGTCTTTTATGATCTAAAATGTAGACATGACGTAGGCAGATAAGAACAGACCCAAAGATCCTCCCAGGAGACTGTCGCATGTTGACATTTCATGTGTGCAGAAGGACAGTGTATTTCCCTGGGTGGGGTAAGCTGGGTGTTTGAGCAGAGAGAGGTTATGGGGAAGCAACTGTGTGGGGGGAAGAACGCGAGCTTCATGGCTGGGTGGCTTCTTGGCTTGTTAACAGCTTCTTTAGATACATTGCTTCAGGTTTCCATGTGTTAAAATGAGGATAAGAATTCCTGCCTGCCTGCCTGCCCTGGGTTGTAATCTATGCAGTGACATCTTGAAGTGGTATTATTGTCTAGTTTCTTGCAACTTGGTGTGTCCGTGTACCAGAATCATTGGCATTGCCTGGGAATGTTGTTAGAAATGCAGAACTTCAGGACCTATTTGAGACCTGCTGAATCAAACTGCATTTTTTAGCAAGATCTCCAGGTGATTTGCACACACCTTAACATTTGAGAAATGTAGTTGGTTTAGAAATGGTTTATGGAGGAGTGGCTTTCTGAGGCAATGTAAATGTTGGAGTTAAGATAGGCTGTGAACTTAGAGAAGTTATTCAAAGGAGAGGACTGGAGTGATTGTATCCAGAAGATGTTAATTTGGTATCAGGGCAAAATAGAAAGGACACAGCAATAAGAATGGGAGCCATAAAGAGAGATGAGGTGCCTGGTGTGAAAGAGGGGTCAGCAGAGGAAAGATGAACTAATGTTGCTTGAGTTTGCATTGGTGTCAGAAACTGTGCTTGGTGCTCATGTATGCTGTCTCATTTAATCCTCACAAGAGGATTGTGAGGATGTGAGGATTGTGAATGAAGTCAACTTAAAGCTCCATCTTTCTTTGTCAAAGAGACTCAGTGAGCTTAAATAACTTACCCAAGTCTTAATCGACTTGATAGTAACAGAGTTGAGATCCTGGGGTTGATGTGTAGGGTGGTGGAGAAGCCACTGGAAGGTCTTAAGGGTATAAGAGAAAAGGATTGGTGGGTTCTAAATGGCAGATGGATAGGGCAGCCCTGCTGAATGATAAATGAACGAGTGAGTGAGTGAAGATGACTTTGTGTTGAGGTAACTGGATTAGTAGCCGGGAGTCTGGTGAGGAATGGAATGTTACAGCTGTTGGAATCGGATTTTGGCTTTATATGGGAATGAGAATGAAGTGGCTGGTGTGAAGGAATTTGTTAAGGGAAAAGCCAGTTCATTGTACAGTCTTCAGAATGTCTTCAACAGAGAATGAAGGAAGAGTCATGAACATGGTCTCCACTTCTAACTTACCTAATGAGCTGCTGGATTCCTTCTCAATTTAAGCTGAATTTGAGGCCTTTTGGGGACAGAGGGCTGTGCTGAGGGGATGCCCAGGGACAGAGGAGTAGAGCGTGTGTGACAGCAGGGCCTGGCACATGGAGATGCTCAGTAAACGTTTTCTGACTGAAAGAACTCATTTATGGATGGTGGTTAATTTATGGGAACAGATGACATGTCCTGGGTTCTATAAGAATCAAGATCAGGGAAGCAGTAACAAGATTACCTCTTTTGGAAGTTAAAAATAAATGCCTCGAGTTTAAAAATAGTTTTAGATTGTGAAAAGCTTTCAACTGATAAGGATAATTTTCATGCTTCCAGATGTATGTATAGCGTCTCTTCTCAGATGCTTTGAGTTCTTTGACTCTATAAAAATAATCAGAGATGTTCCATTAAATTATAAACTAAAAAAGCCTTAAGATATGTTAGTAGACACTACTTTCTAGGAGTACCACGTGTTAATAAAATCAACATAAATACGGGAGAATACCTATCTTTTAAACACTCTATTAAAGAGGAGGTAATCTTCCCTCATCCCTAATTTTAATACCTGTTGTTACTAAAAAGGGATTCAATTTCGAGTTGACAAGAGTTTTCATGGTGCCCTTTGTGGCACAGGAATTGAGCTGACAGGTCTGTCCCTGCTGTAAATGGGAAGATGCAGACTTACCATGTTGGTCATCTTCTTCTTTTTTTAAAATCATTTGAATGTAAAGGCAGCTTGAGAAAATATATCATGCCCATTACTACAGTTCAAGTCAAGTTTCCCTTGATGTTAAACAAATACCAAATAAGATGACCGTTAACATTTCTTCCTTCCAGATTTATTTTAGAATTAGAAAAAATATCAGTGAGCAGTTTAAGTCCACACTCATGTAAATTAAAGACCATTAAATATGGTCTGATTTTCTTAATGGTTCTTCAAAACTCCAGAGGGAGGCTTTGATCTCACACAACCTGTTCATTAGTTCAACCCTGGAGACACTTGAGACCTAGACTCTCTCAGTTGACAGGCTGGATGGAGAGATTTGTTTTAACAGTGCCCTCTTGTGGGCAGTTCCCCTCAGGTGAGGCCCGTGAAGACTTGGATTACTCTGGAAATGAGTTTCAAGTCTGTGCTTAGACAAGCAGCGGGGCGGATTTTGGGTAACCCGGCCAAGTGAGGGATTTGATGCCAGTGGGGAGAGCAGGCCATCAGTCCGATGAAGCAGCCCTTCCCTCCCCAACTTGGTTTGCTAGATGATGGTAAGTCAGTCCTTTGTGGGAGCTGCAATGGGGTAGCCTGTTTTCCTTGCCAAGAATCCCGGAGATGTGGGCAGTGTCCTGCTGCATCTCTGGGTCCCGTGCCTACTTTGGATGGGTCACTTGAAACTGAGCCCAAGCCAGGCCTGGGTCTCTGCACCTCTAGACCTGCATTTTCTAAGCCTATTTTGCAGTCGTGTCCACCAGCCCCAGCCCCTCTGGGCCCCCTGAATCTTCCAGAGAATTTTAGCTGGGTTAGTTTTCTGGAAAATAAAATAATAGTAAAATGCTGGGTTTGGATTTTAACCCTAGGGAAGAATTTCCTTTTGAAAACGTTTGGGTTTGATTTAAATATGATATTTCCCATGACTTTGTTTTAGCCCCAGACAAAACTGTGAGAGAAGATGCTTCCTTTATTCTTTGGGAAGTTTGTGGAAGGCTCTTATTCCTATCCAGTAACACTCTGTGAAATGGTAAAAATTATATATGCCTTTTGTTTTTGTTTAATCAGAGAGAATTGGAGAAATATTTAGAGTTTTTCCTCATATTCCATACACAATGGTGAAAACAAACCTCAGATGAATGGTCTGGAGCCTTGAGTCTCCCTGTGATTCCTGGCTTCTGCCTTTTCACAGAAGTTTGTGGAAAGGGGGCCCTTCCAGGTGAGGTTGGGGCATCGTCATTGATTTCAAGGGTGTGGGAAGAGGACACATAGCGATGAGGCCTTAGAAGCACAGGCTTTGGTGTCAGAAAGGCCTGAGCGCAAGTCCCAGCTCTGGCTCTCTCTCTGTGTGCCTGCTGACCTAACTTCTCCCCCCAAAGAAAAGGGTCTAGTGACAGTATTTACCCTGTAGCGTTTTTATGAGGACTAGTACATGAACACATGAAGCAGCATAGACAGGGCCCAATGTGAGCTGCTCCTCTAGTTCATAGTGGAGTAAATCATCAGAATTTGAGAGTAAGATCAGAAAATGTCAGCTCCTAAAGCAGAAATGGATAAAAATTAGAATGAATGAGACTGGCCATTTGTGGAAGTGACTTGATTGAAATGATAGTTTGTGAATCTTTGACTGACAAGACTGAGGAAACAAAGTCCAAACAAGGTAGCAGGAAGATAGTGCCTGAAGAAAGCTGCAGTCCAGGTGGCTGTTATTTTTATCTTGTCCTGGGATGACAGGGTGTGTTATTAGCAGGGACCGTTTATGTGGAGCTGAGATCAAGATGGTCAGTGTTTATCAGCCCTGTCTAGCGGGTGGGTATTCTGGCCGGAGGGCCTAGATCTCTGCAGGGGAGATGATGGGTCTCCAGTTTGGCTAACCTGGCATCGCTCACAGAGACTGAAGACTCCTGACGGGTTGGTGAGGCTCCCACCTTGGACTGTGGTGACCCCACAAAGCAGCGCCTCACTTTTTCATGGCTCTCTCAGAGAATCTGATCATACTCCCTCTCTCTTTAATATCTCTTCAGCTGCTGATGGGCCTCATTTTTGAAACAGGAAGGTGTTTTATGTGCCCTTAGTCTGCGAGTCTGAGAGGGCAGGAGGCAACCTGAAGGCTTGGGGGGGGTTGGAAAGCTATGGTTGGTCCTTTTCCCAGCTGGGTGTAACTAGGATGACCACGCATCTTGATCTGCTTCATTTACATCAACTGTCTGGGTGAAGTATTTGTCCTTCACCCCTTTTCATTCCAAAAGTGTCCCATTGCAATTATGTGGAGCAGCTGACATGGACTCAGGCCATTGTAGCCGCAACCCCAAGCCCCACACAGCTCGTCTTCTGGCCCTCTCCATCCTGGGCAAATATCCAAATAGGAAAAAGCATCTGGACTGTGACTCGGGGGAGCCCAGCCATCCCGGTCTGATCCACATCCACTTATTACTGAGCTCCGTGAGAACCTCCGGAGACTTATTTTGATGACATGTGGACCCTTACAGTGATGGCACTGATTTGGCGTGGTTTGGGCAATAACTTCTGGCTGCCGTGTCCTTCGAGTTTTGAATAGTTTCTGGAAGCTCTGATAAAATGAGTAACTCTATAAATTTATTTAATTCTGAGATGGAAATTCATCATGCATTAAAATCATCTTTGCTTCTAGACATGATTGTCACCTTACCTTGTTTACATTTTTATATTTCAGGCATTTTTTGTTAACCTAAGTAGGAAAAAGGAAGGGGTTGCTTTTTGCTTGCTTAAAAACTTTCCTGTTGATTAAAAACTGAGGCGCGTACATGTTCTGTTGTTAACGGTTGTGCAGGAATTTATGTGGTATAATCCTTAAGAGATGACATAGCATTCAAGAATATTGTCAACACTAAGGGGCTTTTATTAAAATCCATGATAATTGTATCTTTTGTGCTTTTTTGGCTTTCAGGTTTTCAAAACCCTCGGCACAGATGTCGTGAAGTCTGCATTTGAAGGTTATAACGCTTGTGTCTTTGCATATGGGCAGACTGGATCGGGAAAGTCTTACACTATGATGGGAGACTCTGTACGTTGGCTACACTGCGGGGGGAGAAAACTTCTCATTGTCTCTCTCGGGGCTGATAGAATTATCTTTTTATCTACTTGGTCTCTACTAACTTGCTTTTCAGGTTCTGATCATGCTTTAGCAATAAGATAAAACTCAGTAATAAGTTCAGCTAAATTTCCTTTGAGAGATTTTAAATTAGAAATAGTTTTAAGTGTATAAACATGAATAATGGATGCAAGTCTCAGTTCATTTTCTGTTTTAAAGGCTTTATAATCTTATCAGAAAAGTATGCTGGGCCCACAAGCAATTTATTCCTCTTTTCTGCCAACACAACAGTTTGAATAAAATTACTGAACTCTATTCTTTTTAAAATTATTCAAAACATTTTTCCCCAAGAAAAATGTAAAAAAAAAAATCTTAACTCTTTGGTGGAAAGGTACCACATAAATCCAGCAAATACGTAAAAAGAATTGTACAGTTTATATAGAGTCTATGTATTTATAAAGATAGTGTGCAGAGTTTAGTAGTTATGCTATATAAATAGGCATTCAAGTTATACTTGGCCCAAAATATGGAGGAGTAAAAACTAGACTTCATTGCAGGAACTTTGTCTCATTCTGTGTTTTCTCCGGATCTAGCTAGTGCGTGTGTGTTTTACTTTTCTTATATCATGGTGGAAACTCTTCCCTGACTCTCAGACCTGTGGCATGTTCTAGACGTGGAGGTGCCAGGAGAGGATCGCAGGCCCTCCTGCCGGCAGGCACAGTGGTGTCTGGAATGCTACAGGTGTGGTGGTTCACGGAAGTAGTGTGTAAAGGAGGCTCGGTCATTCCAGGTGAAAGGCTTTAAGTGATTGTGTCCTGGCTTCTTTTTTTTTTTTCTTGTGAGGAAGATCAGCCCTGAGCTAACATCCGTGCCAATCCTCCTCTTTTTGCTGAGGAAGACCGGCCCTGAGCTAACATCTATTGCCAGTCTTCCTCCTTTTTTTCCGCTTTTTCTCCCGAAAGCCCCAGTAGATAGTTGTATGTTGTAGTTGGACATCCTGCTAGTTGCTGTATGTGGGACGCGGCCTCAGCATGGCCGGAGAAGCAGTGCGTCAGTGCGCGCCCGGGATCCGAACCCAGGCCGCCAATAGCGGAGCGCACGCACTTAACCGCTAAGCCACGGGGCTGAGCCCCTGTCCTGGCTTCTTGAATACAGGCTTTTCCTTTACAGGAGAAGTAGATAAACGTTGTGCTGTGAATCCTTGATGCTGCAAAGTAGGGGAGAGTAAATAGGAGAAGAACAGATAATGTTGAGTTACACGTTTCCTTTTATCCCCCCCTCTCCCTTCTGCTCTCCTACTGCACCTTTGAAACAAAAGCCTTCTCTAAAAAGCCATGTTGAGTCCGTAGTAGCTATTTTGTGGGAGTTAAACATTTATAAAGCATTCGTAAATTATAACTGTTTTTCTTTGACCTTATAGTTGAGTACTGTTTGGATATTCTTTTTTATTTTTTAAAGAAAGAATGAAAAATATGTTGAAAGGCCCATTTTTCCCTGATAAGAATTGGTTTCTGGGCTGGCCTGGTGGCATAGTTGTTAAGTGTGGGCGCTTCACTTTGGCGGCCTGGGGTTTGCAGGTTCAGATCTCAGGCACGTACCGATGCACTGCTTGTCAGGCCATGCTGTGGTGGCATGCCATATAAAGCAGAGGAAGATGGGCACGGATGTTAGCCCAGGGCCAGTCTTCCTCAGCAAAAAAAAAAGAGGAGGATTGGCAATAGATGTTAGCTCAGGGCTGATCTTCCTCACCAAAAAAAAAAAAAAATTAGTTTCTTTTATTTTTTGGGTGGGTGGTTTGGTGAAGGTAGGGAGGGACTTCAGAAAACATTGAAGCTCTGAGGTTTGGATTTCCTAACAAGAACACTTTACCTCATCTTTAGTATCATTCTGAGGTTGATCAGCTTTTAATACTGACTGAAATGTGAATATTATTGATTCTGCCCCCATTGCCTAAGTAATATGATGTGTTAAAATCTTCCTGTCTAGGAAGGCAGGGGTGAGGATTATTCCATCCAAGGAGGGATATACCACATGTTTAATGTGGTCCTATCACCTAAGCTTTAAGACAGTTATTAGCTACTTTGAGGACTTACTAAGGTTTCGTTGGTATTTCTTTTCTGTGCGGTGTATATTTCACCTTTTTTTGTCATTTAACTGGATCAGATTTTTAGCATTTATTCTACAGCTGTTGACTGTCTTGTTTGAAAGTTAGAGAATAAGTCTTATGTTTGCAAGCAGTGATTTAACTGATTGACAGCTGATAACGGGTGTGTTAGCAGAGTCCCAGCCTGTGGACGTGGAAAGCTCACTCTTCTTTTCAGAGAGTAGGAAGCGTCCTGGGGGGTAAATGGTGTGCCTGGGGCCTGGGCGGCGGGCTTGTGGTTGGCAGGCAGGCCTCTCAGGTCTAAGTCCACTCCAGCAAATCACAATTGTAATCATGGTTGCTTTTATTTCAAGTGACAGCTATGGCATTCCTCCTTCCCGCTGCAGGGCGATTCTGGCTTAATACCTCGGATCTGTGAAGGGCTCTTCAGTCGGATAAATGAAACCACCAGATGGGATGAAGCATCTTTTCGAACTGAAGTCAGGTAGGACCTGTGGCCTGAGTAACTCAGTATGAGCTTGGAGGGAGGTTGCTTTCAGGCTCAAGGAATGGATACAGTCTTTGGATTCCTGAAGGGCGAGTCTGCCTTTTTCCCCTCCTGTGCTATGGTAGTTGAAAGTAAAGTTGAAAACATGTATCTTTTCAGTGACTTTCTTGGGTACAATTTGGATTAGGATTTGGGAGGTGGGTAGACATAACCTAGTTTGGTCAGAAACTGTAAGGTAGGATGTTTATCTCAAATGGAGTGAGCTTTTGACTTTTAAGGGAATACCCAATTCACTTGTCTTATTCTTTTAGCTGAATAAGATTTGCATTCTTCTTTGTGTTGGTAGGATCACCTTAAATCCAATCTTGAAATAAATCTGGAAGGTTGAGGTGTTTTTTCCTCCTTGAAATTAAACCTGTGTAGGGAGCCAGTCTTGTCAGTGGTTTTGGGGGCAGATGTGGCAGTCAAGGGTTCTTATGGCTGCTTGACCTCTCAGTGGCTGTGTGGCCTTGGACAGGTTAAATCACTCTAAACCTCCATTGCCTAACCTATAAAATAGGGATCATAGCACCTACCTCTGGGCTGTTGTAGGGATTAAATGAAATAATCCATAAAGTGTTTAGCATAGTACCTGATACATAGTTAGCACTCATAAGTGTATGTTGCTGCTGTTATTATTGTTGTTATTAATGTCTGAAATCATTTTTCTGAATTCAATTCTATTTAAAATTTTTAGCTACTTAGAAATTTATAATGAACGTGTGAGAGATCTACTTAGGCGGAAGTCATCTAAAACCTTCAATTTAAGAGTCCGTGAGCATCCAAAAGAAGGACCTTATGTTGAGGGTAAGAGTGAATATTTCACAGCCCTGTTCTTCTTGGGAATTTGAGTGAAAATAATAGTTTCAAAGGACAAAAAAGAAGGATAATGGTGAGGTTTAAAACATTTATTTATTTTTGGTGTTTGATTACAGTAAAAATGACGTGCTGTCACTACACCATGTTCATTTAATGAATTTATCCTTCACTGGACATTCACTGATGTTGTGGGACTTGCCAGTATATTTCATTTGGCTTTGAGAACTCTCTGGAAACTTGTTTTCCAGTGTTCTCAAGCAAGATAAGCAACCTGATAACCTGTCTCTTTAAAAGGCATTACATTTTATCGGTATATTTTTACCAGCCTTAATGGTAACATATGACCATAAGGAGATGCTAAGACCTCTTACCTATTGAGGAGAGCATTTACAGAGTTTCCTGTGTTGTGGTTCTCAGCATTTGTGTTGTGACACCAGCTGTGTCAGTCCATTGTGAGGAATGTCACAAGTAATGATGGGTAAAGGGCTGGCCCTTGCTAACGAGGCTGAGGCTGGATTTAAGGCTGTCCTTATAATGAAGCTGCTCTCACGTACTCTGCATAAGGCGGCTGAGTCATGGCTGGCCTGTAGGAATCACACACAGAGAGGTGCATTCCTGTGGCTGTTGTCCTTCATATGTGTCTTGTGGAGGCAGGGCTGAGAACCGGTCGTGGGTTTAAAGATGTTCCTGTTTTGGTTGTCTTTTTCACCTGGAGATACCAGGTGCACCAACAGGACCCTGTCTGCATTTTATTGAATTTCCAATTAAACTTTTGCCTTTTATGCCCAAAGTAAGGTGTATAACTAGGTATTTGTTTTGTGGAGCATGGCATAGCTATTATTGTTACAGTTTTTAGCCTAACTGTGCCTTCGTGTTTTCTCTTTAATTGTCTTATCAGATGTTAAAACATATTATAAAGGTGGTTAATGAAGAGGCAGAATAATCAAACAGGTCAAAACATCCAGAATCTGATGTAGATACTTATGGGGATTTAGTTTCTAATAAATCTGCTATTCAAACATTAGGGGAATATGAGTTATTAAGCTGTCTGGGAGAAAAAAAAGTAAATTGGGACCATAGCTTAGTTTTTACACCAGGATAAATGACAAATAGGTCTAAGATTTAAATGTAAAAGTGACATAATAAAATGATTTCAAGAAACCATGGGTTAATTTTTTGCAGAAATTTGAAGAAGGGAAGGCTTTTAAAAATTTGACTTAACACGCCAAAACCATGAAATAAAAGTGTTAAATTTTAAGTGGTAAAAAGTAAGACTTTAGGGGCTGGCCTGGTGGTGTGGTGGGGAAATTCGCATGCTCCGCTGCAGCAGCCCCTGGTTCACGGGTTCGGATCCTGGGTGCGGACCTACACACTGCTCATCAAGCCAAGGCGGTGGCATCCCACATATCAAATAGAGGAAGACTGGCACAGATGTTAGCTCAGGGTCAGTCTTCCTCAAGCAAAAAGAGGGAGATTGTCAACAGATGTTAGCTCAGGGCCAGTCTTCCTCACCAAAACAAAAACCAAAAAACAAAAAAACCTTTGTATTTGGCAGAAACACCATAAGCAAAGTAAAAAGACAACTTACAAAGTGAGGAAAATATTTTCGATTCAAGTTTCAGATAAAGCACTAATTTCCCTAATATAGAAAGAGCTCCTATAAATCAGTAAGGACAGATACAACAATGAAGTAGAAAAATGAACAAAGGATGTGAAAATACAGATGATTTTTAAATGGAGGAAAGAATGCTCAGCCTCACTCATAATCAGAGAGAAGCAAAATAATAATTCTTCGAGGTAACGTTTGTTACCTATCCCTGGCAGATCTAAGTAAGCCTGGTAATACAGTGTTGGGAGACAGGCAGTCTTATACGTTGCTACTGCTGAGTGTAAATTGCTTTCTGTGAAGGACAGTTTTGCAGTATCTATAAACATTTCAAATGTGCTTTGATCTAGCAATTCCACCTCTTAAGAATTTATTCTGTGGAAATATTCATACACATTTGAAAAGACCTGTGTACAAGGTTATTTGTAGCAGTGTTACTTGTAATTGGAAACAAAACGTAAACAACCTCTATAGTCTCAGTTGGAGGCTGGTTAACTTGGTTATGGTACATGTATACAATGGAATGCTCTGCAGCCATAAAAACGAATGAGGAATCACCTTAACTGATACAGAATATTCTTCGATATATTATTACATAGAAAAAAACAGGGTGCAAAACGGTGTTTATGGTATGCTACCATGTATGAAAGGGGCAAAGGAGAGGTTTTAAATGTATGTAATTACCTATGTATGTATGGGTTATTTCTAGAAAGGTATGGAGAAACTAATAACATTGGGTTGCCTCACAGAAGGGGAAGTGGGGTGTAGGCTATAGGAGGAGGAGGGCTAGGGGGAAACCCTTTACATAGTATACCTTTTGTACCCTTTGACTTGAGAGCCATATGAATGTTCCCAAAAGAATGAATAAAAAGTTTTTTAAAAGGAGTAAAAAAAAGTGCTTTTGATTTTTGCATGCGGGCAGTGTTTATATGTCCCTTACTCTGACTAATGCTAATAAGGTTGATGATAATAACTAGCGTGTATCCTAAATACCCTATGTGATAGGTATGCGTTATCAGATGAGGCAACTGAGGCTCAGTGAGGTTAAGCAACTTGTTTGTAACCAAGTCAGCCCACTAGTAAGCAGCAGAGCTGCCTAGCTGCCAAGTCTGCCTTATAAACTACCACCCTGTGGGAACCAGTAGGATCTTTAAACAAGTCAGCAGACTTGTACAGTCGTGTATTATTTCCTGGACGTAAATTTCTTATTCTGTTTACTATATGTTAGGGAGATTTCTTCACGCCCTCTCTTTTTTTCAGATTTATCTAAACATTTAGTACAGAATTATGGTGATGTAGAAGAACTTATGGATGCGGGAAATATCAATCGCACCACAGCAGCGACCGGGATGAACGATGTCAGCAGCAGGTCTCATGCCATCTTCACCATCAAGTTCACTCAGGTAAGGGTGGCTGTGGGGCCGGCTGGCTCCATCCCTCAGGTCTTGACTCACTGATTAGCATCAGCCCAGGACCGATCATTGCTGAACCAGGAGCAGCAGCAGGCAAAGGTGAGTGACTGTCATTTTCTTGTTAATTAGAGTTGAACATGTGCTATATGCTGGGTTTCTCTGTGGTTACAATCACAGTAATTTGAAATGTCCTGATGTGTACCCTTAAGAAATATTTAGCAGGCTTCCACCGTGTTCTAGACGTAAAAAACGTGCTTTGTGCTTAATTAAGCAAAAGTTTTCATTGTTGCAAGCTCTGTAGGAGATAATGGATTGAGAGTCAGACCAGCTGGAGGCCAAGGTAAGTAACTCATCGTGGTACATTATCGTTCCATGGAACTCACCCCACAAGGTTGATTGCAATTATTAGAATGATATTAAAGGACAACGAACATGTTTAAGTACTAATGTAAGAATTAATTCTGATCAAAATGTGGAGAGCATTTTGAATATGTGTGGAAATTATCGAGGGTAAATATTTTAACATCTAGGTTAGTAGAACAGATGAACACAAAAATATAGGGTCCTCTCAGGGCTTAAGCATATGTTAGGAGTTTGGGGATGTTGTGGCTTCTGTTAACCATTGAACACATCAGATAGAAGAAGATAACATTTTATCCGTGAGTGGGATCATGAGCAAAGAAAATGAAAACATGCTCTAAGGTCAAGCAGAACAACTTGTGATTAGTTATCCACATCTTGACCTTTTGTTACATCTTTGGTTTTGGTTTACTGTAGTTTCCCAGTTTTTCTCCTGCTTTCTGGTTAATGTGGATTAGGATATGGCTGTCCCTAGTTTCTAAGAGGTTTACATTTCTATCAAAATAGGGTAATTTTTTTTCAGCATTTTGGTTCAGACTGTAAAACATATGTTAAAAGTCGTTGGGAAAGTAAAATTTTGGTAGAATTCAGAATCAAGGAATACAGTATTTAAGATTTTCACTTTTTTTGTGAAACAGGTGTTTTAGCATCTAATATTGATTGAATGATCTTTGACATAATTGTTTACATTTATCATATTTTGGAGAGCTGTTGTGCTTGGGATGCTGAAAATTCTAAAGGAGAGCAAAACTAATTAATTGTTTACTTATATTTTTCTTTGTTGAGTGCCCCTCAGTCCCAGGTTTCCTGTTCTGCCAGCCAGACTCAGTAAGCCCTTGCTGAGGATGACTGAGCGATTTGAGTAATGGAAGAGTCCTTCCAAAAGTTTAAGAATCACATATGGTAGGGGCCGGCCCCGTGGCTTAGCGGTTAAGAGCGCGTGCTCTGCTGCTGGTGGCCCGGGTTCGGATCCCGGGCGCGCACCGACGCACCGCTTCTCCGGCCATGCTGAACCCGCGTCCCACATACAGCAACTAGAAGGATGTGCAGCTATGACATACAACTATCTACTGGGGCTTTGGGGGGAAAAAGAATAAATAAATAAAATTATAAAAAAAAAAAAGAATCACATATGGTAGACGTCCGTTGTAGTCAGTTTAATTTTGAAAGTCTTTATAATCAGCAAGAAGGCCAGTGAAACAACAAAGTTAAAAAAAAGAACACCTACCCTGAGAGAGAACAGTGAGGAGTGGAAAATAATTAGAATTTGTATCACAAACCACATCAGGTCTTTTTACACCTCTTCCATTTTGCTTTATATTTTACCACAGGCGAAATTTGATTCTGAAATGCCATGTGAAACCGTGAGTAAGATCCACTTAGTGGATCTTGCCGGAAGTGAGCGTGCGGATGCCACTGGGGCCACCGGGGTGAGACTGAAAGAAGGGGGCAATATTAACAAATCTCTTGTGACTCTGGGGAACGTCATTTCTGCCTTAGGTAGGTTTATACTCGACTCCTGGCTCCTCCTAGTCTTCTTGGTACTGGATTAGATGAAGCAATTACGGTTAATATTTGTCTTACAAACCGAGGTAATATCCTCAAGGTTTTTGAACTGAAATTAGAGAAAAAAACCTCTAATAATTGTCTTTTGTTTTTTTTGTCCTCTTTTTCTTCCTCCCTACAGCCGATTTATCTCAGGATGCAGTAAACCCTCTTGTAAAAAAGAAGCAAGTTTTTGTGCCTTACAGGGATTCTGTTTTGACGTGGTTGTTAAAAGATAGCCTTGGAGGAAACTCTAAAACTATCATGATTGCCAGTAAGAGTTTTAAGTTCTTTTCCCCAGCATATAATGTTCCATGTGAATTAACTGTAAATATTAAAGTGTAAAGTGTTTCATTAGGAAATAACACCTTTTTTGTCTTAAAAAATAATAGTTTTTCTATCTTGAAGAAAATCACTTACTATGATCCAGTCTACAGTATCCAATTATTAACTCTTTTTCCCTTCTTCCTAGTTACGTAGACTTTGCCATGATCTTGGTTATGGCAGCTGGGATACATGCAGAATGACTCTCAGCTTTTCTTTGCTTAAACTACAGGATAGAAACTTTTAATTCCATGAGCTCACAGGAGAAACTCATTATAGGGACATAAAGTAAAAATAACCCAACTTTATTTTTCTATTTTAAAGCAGTGAATATGAAATTTAAAATTAAGAATTGAGAGAAACAGGGCTGGCCCCGTGGCTTAGCGTTAAGTGTGCGCGCTCCGCTACTGGCGGCCCGGGTTCGGACGGATTCTGGGCACGCACCACACACCGCTTCTTTGGCCATGCTGAGGCCGCGTCCTACATACAGCAACTAGAAGGATGTGCAGCTATGACATACAACTATCTGCTGGGGCTTTGGGGGAAAAAAAGGAGCAGGATTGGCAATAGATGTTAGCTCAGAGCCAGTCTTCCTCAGCAAAAAGAGGAGGATTAGCACGGATGTTAGCTCAGGGCTGATCTCTCTCACAAAAAAATAAAAAACGAATTGGGAGGAAAAAAACAATAAATGTAACAAGTAATGATAATAGTAATGTACTTTATTTTTGTATTTTCACTAATTAACTGGAAGAAAAAAATGTACAAAGGGGAGATAATTGTTGAAGCGAACTCAAAAACTGTTTTCCTCCTAACTCGACTTTCCCTTTCCATTTCTCTCTCCTCTTCCCTTCCCCTGTCTCATGTCCCACCCCCATTCCCCATGCCATGCCTTCACTATAGAGGCAAGGGATCTACCCTGGGGTCTGCACCCCAGATGCAACTGTGTAGTCACCTAAGCCCTAAAGTTTGTGGGAACAGGGTGCAATTAACCAAAGAGGAAAAGAATTAACTGATGTACTGACTTCTTTCAAAAATTATCATGCTCTAGATTTTTACAGATGGTAGGCTTTGCCAGAACAATTAAAAGTATTTTAATTTCTACTTAAGAAGTACAGATAGTCTTGAAATCCTCTTCTTATATTTTCAACAGAGAAAACTCCCTAAGTACAGTGGAGTATCTCTTACTTCATTTTAGAGTTGGTTAGATTCTAGTCTTGAGAAGAGCAAAATGACATTTAATTTGGTATAGTGAGCACCTTTCCTATAAATCTAAGATAATTTTTAATATTCATTACTGTGGCAATGAATATTTAGTCTGTTCAATGACCTGGGGTTAATCTGACTTTTAAATTACAAACCAACTTTGTGTTAAATGAAACGCAGAGTGCTGGATAAAATATTTTTTGAATTCATTCTTCACAGCCATTTCACCTGCTGATGTCAATTATGGAGAAACCCTAAGTACTCTTCGCTATGCAAATAGAGCCAAAAACATCATCAACAAGCCTACCATTAATGAGGACGCCAACGTCAAACTCATCCGTGAGCTTCGAGCAGAAATAGCTAGACTGAAAACGCTGCTTGCTCAAGGGAATCAGGTGCGGTTTTTCTGAGATTTGTGGATCATTTTCTTTGAGTAACGGCTTCTATTTCTAGATCTTAATGAGACAATTATCTCACTCGTTGTATTGATTTGAGTAAATAAGTGTTAAGTAAAGCTTTTAATGGGTTAGCTGGTCTCTCCTTTACATCACCCTCCCATTGGCTGTTGCACTCATTATGTGCTTCACGTGTAAGATTTTATCCACTAAACCTGAAATGATTAACTATCTAATGGTTATCAATTATGGATGGAAATTTAGCATGCAATAGCATTAGCAGCATAATCTCCATTAGTGGAAGGAAAGTGAGATGTTTGGAGTAATATTTAAAATTCTATCCATGCATTTCGTAACTTCAAAATGTATTTTAACGGAATGAAAGACTTGTTTGAACACCTTTCTGAATCTGTATTTTGTATCACCCATTATAGAGGTAATTATGGTGATACAGTGACATGTGGGATGCACCTGTGGCCTGGATGAGTTGATGTCCCTGGGGCCTTCCTTGACTGTTGAAATGGCCTTACTTCAGGCTCTTTTGGGAGATTATGGTGAAGGAGCCTTGTCCTTTTCTGTTTTTCACAGTAAACGTCCTTATAATCTCCATAGTGGACGGTATTGCCTTAGGTTCTGGGATGAACAGTATGAGTTAGGTTCTGGTAGGTTTAGACACTGTTATGAAGAAAGGCTGCCCTTGAAAGAAAATCAAGCATAGCTTTTTAAAATGTTCAAGTTAGACTGGAGTTAAAAATAAAACAAAGATACATTTCCTCCAATTTTCTTAACCCATGAATGGATGTCTTAAGTGTATCATTGAAAAAATACTTTTCTTTAAATGCAAAGTGCTCTCTTTAGAGCACCTTTCCATCTAGGAATATATGGCCCTTGAAGCTCTCGACAACCCGTATGTGGTTTGACCTGTGAAAATAGTGACAGGAAGAAAACCGCACTGTTTCCTCTGTCCTAAAACGCACCTGACAGTTTTTTCCCAAAAGACGGCAGCAACAGTTAAATAGGAATTGCTGATTGCACTTAAATATCTCCACGCACGTTTTCCATTTTGATGTGGAGCTCTGCTGTGTGTGAAAGGAAGTCGTCAGAACGAATAGTCCAGCTATATGTGGTGTTATCAGACTCATATAACTTATGATAGGAACCACAGTCTTCATTTTTATTTATATACCTTGGTACTAGGATCTTTTTTCAATGTTTTTAAAACATTATTTATCTAAAGCAAACATTTGAGGATGGTTTGATAGGATCACTCAAATGACTGTATGTGAAGGAAAGTGTTTGGAAAATTCTTGGTGCAGCTTCTTATACTTAACCTTTTACTAAGTTATGAGAATGAAGGAAAAAAAGAAAAATTAGTCTTTTTAAATTAAACTGAAGAAGTCCTTGAAGGGAGCCGTATCATATGGACAGAAAAATTTAATTTATTAAAACATTTACAAGTTCTATCTGAGGACTCTCTTCAGGGGTTTTGTGTATGCCAGTTGCCTTATGTTTTGTGGTCTTTTTTCCTTGTGTCTTTCATGACCAAAGACCACTGCTGTAATTAAAGAAGTGTTTCTGTTGCTCTAGTTTTGGAAGTGAGGATGGAAAAGATAGTTGTCTATTTTAGAAAACAATGAAGATAGAATTCTTTGATAAACTTAATACATCACAATAAAAATGGGAGTCCAATATAAAATAATTTATCACAGTATGAAGCTATAAATTGTTGTGAGATAATACAAGCTTATCCTAAATTAATTAAATTTGTGCTGCTCAATAAAATAAGCAGGTGTTCTTAAGTGCCCATCAAAAATCTCTATAAATTTTTCTGATGAAATTGCACTATTCTCACAATATTCTATTCCAAATGCTGCCATGGTTCATTGAGAATGTGGCTCAAACCAAAGTTCCGTTTCTGGGATTATTTGTTTAAGTACAGCTAAATAAAAATCAACTCCTACTTTTAATAATTTTCTGTGCTTGCCAATGCAAAATGTCATGTGCATCAGGGTTTCAAAAGCACAATTTACTGATTTTTTTTTTTTTTTTTTTTTTTGGTGAGGAAGATCA